AAGTCACCTTTATTTTAAAATGAATATTGGTATAATTATTAATGGGGATCCAGGTAATAGGATTAGCAATTAAGTATTAGTTGATTATATTTCAAATTATTTAAGACAGCATTTTTTTCTTTATTATGAATGTAGGCAACATATTTTCCACAATATTTACATCTGAAAAATAGTGACAAATGACAATATCTGCCTTTCTACTGGACAGTGACATTTATCAGTGGTGTTTTATGCTATATACTTCTACTGAACAATAATCTCAGTATGTATTAATTATGAGGACTGCACTTACTGGTACAAGGTAATGACATCTTCAAAATACAACTGTAACTCACATATATATAGTTTGTACTTTTTCTGTGATAATATGTGCACGTATCCATATTCATGCATCATTCTCATATATCAGAGATAGTTATTAGCATTGAATGACAAAGTGTTTCAGGCAGCCTTTTATTATGTCAAATTTAAATCCAATAAAAATGGGGTGGGAATGTCATTTTGAAATAAGAGCATTTTGTGTATTTTGAATTATAATTGCAGTCAGCAATATATGCCTGTAATGCAGTACATATTACACATGTCTGGCTTAGAGATGTCGCGAACCGTCCGCGAACATCTCGCGAACGGTTCGCCACGGTTCGCCACGAGCTGTTCGCGGTGAACTCCAGTCAGCTGACACGTCCCGGCCAATCTCAAGCAGACCCTCCCTCCCAGGCCCTCCTACTTCCTGGACAGCATCCATGTTTGCGACATCTCTAGTCTGGCTGTAGTTAGGGGACTGTACTTACTGTAATTTGCTTTCAATATATATTTTTATTTATTAAAGTTATACATTTATACATACATACATACATACATACAAAAGTCAGTAAGACAAGCAATACAAAATGGCACAATATAAAACACCAGAGTTGTCAATGATAAGATCAGGTGTGTATTAAAAACTGCATTGTATTTAGAAAATTATGTGTTTTAATAACCAAGCATCTTGCATTACATAGAAAGGGAGCAACACGTGATAAATAAATGATAAATTAAACATGTATTGTGTGCATTTATATAATTTAACATGTTTAAAGGGACACTATAGTCACCTGAACAACTTTAGCTTAATGAAGCAGTTTTGGTGTATCGAACATGCCCCTGCAGCCTCACTGCTCAATCCTCTGCCATTTAGGAGTTAAATCCCTTTGTTTATGAACCCTAGTCACACCTCCCTGCATGTGACTTGCACAGCCTTCCATAAACACTTCCTGTAAAGAGATCCCTATTTAGGCTTTCTTTATTGCAAGTTCTGTTTAATTAAGATTTTCTTATCCCCTGCTATGTTAATAGCTTGCTAGACCCTGAAAGAGCCTCCTGTATGTGATTAAAGTTCAATTTAGAGATTGAGATACAATTATTTAAGGTAAATTACATCTGTTTGAAAGTGAAACCAGTTTTTTTTTTCATGCAGGCTCTGTCAATCATAGCCAGGAGAGGAGTGGCTAGGTCTGCATAAACAGAAACAAAGTGATTTAACTCCTAAATGACAGTGAATTAAGCAGTGAAATTGCAGGGGAATGATCTATACACTAAAACTACTTTATTTAGCTAAAGTAATTTAGGTGACTATAGTGTTCCTTTAAGTATCCATGCACAGAAATATATACACACAATTCTAATATAGTCCTAAGTTTGTGTGCAACAGTTCTTTTGGAGTTGTTGGTACCTACATCTCTTTTCTATAATTACACGTATCTACCAGTATAGCTAAATGCTGATAGTGTTCATCAACCCACCACAATTGACTGATGCATTATAAAGTTGATAATAGTTTATATATTTTTTTTTATAATGATAAAGACTCATGGTAAAACTGTCATTAAAATACATGCATTTATTATATATGTGTCCACCCTGCATCAGTAACGTAATACTATTGCAAACAATCAGATTCAGATTTAACTTGATTTAAGTTTATATTTTAAACATGCATATATTGCCTGAAACAAACCCAACAACAAACTAGAAATGGCAAGGGTAGCATTCTAAAAAGGAAAAAAAAAAGCTGGGTTTCATTCACTAAATAGCAAGTTACAGTAAAGTAAAAACTAATTAATACAATTTTGACCATAATAAACTGTTATGCCGTGATTGAAACGTTATGACATGTTATACGTTGCTATGATACCGGTAAACAAGTTATTAAATCATCAGTATGCAACTCCGTGAAAACAGTCAGAAGTGAAAATGCATGCGCTATGAAAATCTTAAGAATAGCTTAATATATGTAATCCCAGCTATATTTAAAATGATGAAAGGGTAATATTAACAGTAAATAGTGGTGAAAATATGCAAATGTTGTGCAAAGATAAAAAAAATAATATGACAAAAATGTGAGTGAATATAATAAACCCCAAACATCATCTAGGTGTATGGTGATACTAAACAGACAAACATACAGTTTAAAAGCATAGCATAAATACAATATGAAGACTGTTGAATTAACAGTATTATTACTAATAGCTTAAATTGGAAGGCATATTCCTATCATATTAAATTATTCTAAATTAAATGTCCAAAAAAGACTCCTATAAGGCAATCAAACAAGTGATTAAATCATGACCTGGTGGCTAACGCGTTTGTTCTTTTGCTGGGGTAAAGTACAGCTGAAAACAGAAGAGCCTTTAACATTGATAATTACAAAGGAATAAACTCAACGAATAACAATATAAAGGTTAAATAATACAATATGTAAGCTGTATGTATAATAAAAACTTTAAATACTTGGTCTTATTAAGGCTGCTGTACAGAAAAATCACAACATATACAACAGGCATATTCAGTTGGTACACAGATGTACAACCATAAAAAGAGGGGGGGGGGAGGGGGCACAATTTTAGGTCCAGGCAAGAGAAGGAAAAGTTAAAGCCAAAAGCAATTTAAAGGAGGCCTTACAAATGTATTTTTTTTGTTCTGTACATGCATGCAAATTTCACCTATTACAATGCCATAGCAGACATGGAAATATACCCATTATCGGTTTGCTTAAAAGCCTCTCTTTAGATTGAGTAAAAGAGTCGGCTTTCATCACCATGTCCCTAACATTGTGGTGTCATTTATGAACAAACACAGGTGGATCTTTGATTGAAAATTTGATCATTTTATCCAATTGCAATATATGCCAATTAGAGTGGATAGAGTTTTAAATCTTAGGGGAGACCTTATGTCCTTTTTTGTAAGCAAGGTATTTCTATAAATAATAGTGGCTTGAGGTATAGCCATTTTGGAGAACTTCTTGGCCATTCAAAAATCCAATCTTGAGTCCAGATTTTGGTCCTCACTGACATTACGTCAACAACACGTGCCATCTGACTGTATGGAATATAATTATTTTGGTTAGTAGGATGAAACTGTTCACATTTAACAAACTGTCATAAGTGAGAGTTATTAAGGTAAGTCAAAAACTGTTGCAGGTCAATCCTCTAACACAGCTTTTGTAGGGGTTAGTTGAAGTGTATACATGGTGCTCTTCAAAGTCTGTCATGAAGATATTTGCCTATGAGTGTGCCATATTGTCTCCATAGCAGTTCCCTTCACTTGTTTGTAAAAGATCGAATGGTACCTGAAATAGAAATATGAAGATATTTGCATATATGAAGATATTGGCATATATGTGTGCCATATTGTCCCCATAGCAGTTCCCTTCACTTGTTTATAAAAGATCGAATGGTACCTGCAATAGTTTTTTGTTAAGACTATTTCTACTAACCTTAGCACAAATTCACAAATGCTATGGTTGGAAAGAAATGTCAAGGATCTGTTGTTTACAATAGTATTACCTTACTGGTGCTGGGTGGACATATTTAGTGTCACAAGAATATCATCAGAACTATAGTCTGTATAAATAAATGTCCAAGGGTTGAAACACTGACTTTGTACTTGCAACTATGGGACAACCTGTTATATGGACAGGGTCTTGAAGTACATTGGAAAGTATGAAGAATACTAACATCATAGGATTATCATTACAAATACATTTTTGCTAAGATTTAGCAATAATCCCATCAAACAGAGCTTTATCCAGCATCGTTGTAACGGACCGTTTTGCACAAAAGGGAAAAAAAACGTTTAGGCGATTGGCCCCCTTTCCAGAGATACAGGCACAGCTACTGCAGAACACCAAACTCCCGAACTGGATACAAAATAGCACTCCAACTCCCGAACTGGAACCTCCCAAATAGCTGCTAGCAGACGAACAGGAAAAGCAGACAATCAGCTTACACTCCTGGCAATCAGTCTCTAACAGCATACAGTGAATCCCCCCAAGAACGAGACAAGGCTCTGTGTTGAGGGCAGGGACGTCTATAATATGAATAGGACCCTGGGCAAAACATTTTCTTGGGCCCCCTGGGCCCTGTCCCTGCGCCCCCCACCCCATTACGCCCAACCCGCAATCACACTGACAGATATACTGACACATACACACACAGACAGACAGACATATTAAAACATTCGCAGATACATACTGACACACACATACACTGACACACAAATATATACTGGAAAATATATTGACACACATTCAGACATACTGATACACACACAGAGACACACATACATAATACTGACACGCATAGAAATACTGAAACACATACACTGACAGGCGTATTGACATACACAGACATACTGACATACACACACAGACATATACACACAGTATGTCTCTGTGTGTGTGTGTTAGTATGTCTCTGTGTGTGTGTGTTAGTGTGTGTGTGTTAGTATGTCTGTGTGTGTGTGTTAGTATGTCTCTGTGTGTGTGTATGTCAGTATGTCTGTGTGCGTATGTCAGCATGTCTGTGCGTGTATGTTAGTATGTCTGTGTGTGTGTGTGTGTCAGTATGTTTGTGTGTGTATATGTTTGTGTGTGTATGTCAGTATGTATGTGTGTGTGTATGTCAGTGTGTGTATGTTTATGTCAGTGTGTGTATGTTTATGTCAGTGTGTCTGTGCGTGTGTTTGTGTATGTCAGTGTGTCTGTGTGTGTATGTCAGTATGTCTGTCATACTGACATACACACACAGACATACTAACACACAGACATACTGACATACATACACACAGACATACTGACATACACACACATACATACTGACACAAACACACAAACATACTGACATACACACACACAGACATACTAACACAGACATACTGACATACACACACACAGACATACTAACACACACACATAGACATACTGGCACACACACACAGACATACTAACAAACACACAGACATACTGACATACATTTAGCCACCCTCCAGGTTCTTACCTTTTTATGGAGGGTGGTTTCCCTAGGGTCCAGTGGCAGGCTGAGGCAGTTGGGAGTTATCTTGAAGAACTACCCTACTCCCTGCTTTCCTCCTCCCACGCGGCTATTATCTCCGGTGGGAGGAAGTGACATGCCGCACTCACTTCCTCCCAGCCGGTACAGAAAGGGGCCTGGTCGCACTGTTTAAGCGTCACAGCGCCCGACCGGGCCCCTGCTGACACATGGTAACCGGGTGGCGGGCCGGTGCGGCTGCACCGCTGGGTACATGGGGGCTGCAGAAATCACGGGGCCACGGGGCAGCTGCTCTGGGGCCCCCCAGGAGCAACTGGGCCCGGGGCAACTGCCCCGTTTGCCCAGTGCTAAAGACGGCCCTGGTTGAGGGTCAAGCAGTGGTCTGAGGTGCTGGCACACCCAGCCTGGTTTTTATTACAGTCTTTTCAAATACAGGACCGCCCACAGGGAGGTATAAAATATCCAGTAACATAGTAGTTACAACCCACAGATTCCCTCCCCCTTATCCTGAGAGGTAACCCAATTACACATACTTTTTACCACAATGCATCCTGGCTTCCTCTCCTCTGCCTAGGAGATAATTGAGAAGTAATTAAATTATCTCCCAGGACAGAGACAAGACTCCATTATGCACATGGTTAGCACAAGGCATTAAAATACTGTACGATACACAAAGTCCCATTTTATACATAAAACACAGACATGTCAGAGACAAGACTCCATTATGCACATGGGGACACAAAACAAGCATTACTGTTAAAATACACCAGGTAAGACACCTTACATTAAAACTATACATTTAACATATCCCCAGATAGCTCAGGTCTGAGCGCACATTATTAAGTGAATGGCGCTCAGACCACACGAATACAGTTTAATCGCCATGGAGCCAAAGTCTTTACAGTCAGTTTCATACGAATGGGCTCCATGGGATTCCTATCTGGGGTATAACACATTCAAACAAATCTACCGAACCCCAGGCAGAAAAGCACGAATGAAGCTTTTCTGCAGGTAAAAAAGATGTCTTTTAACAGGGGGCCATAGTCCAAAGGCAGCAGGCGAGCAACCAGGCTTCTCCAATGCAATGTGGCGAGATTGGTCTCGTCACATCTCTCCCCTTTTCCAAACAGACTAACAGGGTATCTGACCTCCTGCCGGTCAGTGCCCTTGTTAGTCCAGCAGCCCACCCACAAGACATAATCAACAGCACAGCCCACCCACAATAAATGGTTACTGCACCTGGGTAGAGGAGAAGCTTGTCCATGTCCAGGTGCCTCACCACGGCTGTGCTGGGTACGGGTACGCTGACTTGGTGGGGTGCTGCATGGGCAGAGACCAGCGGCACTCTGCCCTGTTGCCAGCGCTACTGGGAGGGTAGCCTGGTTGAAGCCTGGTTGTTGGAGGGGGAGACCGACTGTCTCCCCTTTAGATACACAGCTCTGCTGCTGGAGACCGACTGTCTCCCCTTTGGCTACACAGCCCTGTCGCTGGGGGGCAGAACCGGCCATCCCTACCCCCTGTGCTGTATGTGCAGAGACCACGGTCCCATCTGCACAGTTGTGGGGCTTACTGTCTCCCCCGGGTACATTAAGCTGCCGCTGGGGAGAGGGGGTAACAAGCTCCTCTCCCATATATACTTCAAGCCGCGGGGGAGGGAGACCGACTGTCTCTGCTCCCAATACAGAGTCCTGCTGCTGGGGAAAGGAGACTGGGCTCTTTATTCCCAGTAGGACACTCTGCCACTGGGGAATGGAGACTGGGCTCCCAATTCCCTGTTTTATCTCCCGCTGGGGAATGGAGACTGGGCTCCCAATTGCCAAAAAATCACGCCTGCCGCTGGGGAGGGAGGACACTGCTCTCCTCTCCCTGCACTTCACACTGCCTTCCCGGCATATCACTCTGCTGCTGGAGGGCAGGAACAACTACCTCTGCCCTCTGTAACTCAGCCTGCCGCTGGGGAGGGAGGAAGCTGCTCTCCTCTCCCTGCACTTCACACTGCCTTCCCGGCATATCACTCTGCTGCTGGGGGGGCAGGAACAACTACCTCTGCCCCCTGTAACTCAGCCTGCCGCTGGGGAGGGAGGACGCTGCTCTCCTCTCCCTGCACTTTACACTGCCGCTGGGGAATGGGGACTGGGCTCCCAATTCCCTGCAATTCACACTGCCGCTGGGGAATGGAGACTGGGCTCCCAATTCCCTGCAGTACCTGCCGCTGGAGTTCCTCCCAACGTGCCAACTGACCTTCTCTTTCTGCCCATTGTTGCAGCCTCTCGAACACTAGGTTCCTCACGAACCGCACCGATCTCTCCAGTGGGTTGGATCCGAAGAAGCTTAGGTGAAACCACACCATCCGGTCATACTCTCTCATAGAGTAGCTGTACTCCACTGCTGGTTCCATCCTGGTGCTGTCAGGGTCACTGTACTAGGACATGCGTTGCCCTTAACTTGTAAATACAAAGAAATGGTGTCTCCTGTAGCTGTCCTTCTGGCTGTAGGAACGATCCCGCCGCTTGCCACCAATTGTAACGGACCGTTTTGCACAAAAGGGAAAAAAAACGTTTAGGCGATTGGCCCCCTTTCCAGAGATACAGGCACAGCTACTGCAGAACACCAAACTCCCGAACTGGATACAAAATAGCACTCCAACTCCCGAACTGGAACCTCCCAAATAGCTGCTAGCAGACGAACAGGAAAAGCAGACAATCAGCTTACACTCCTGGCAATCAGTCTCTAACAGCATACAGTGAATCCCCCCAAGAACGAGACAAGGCTCTGTGTTGAGGGTCAATCAGTGGTCTGAGGTGCTGGCACACCCAGCCTGGTTTTTATTACAGTCTTTTCAAATACAGGACCGCCCACAGGGAGGTATAAAATATCCAGTAACATAGTAGTTACAACCCACAGATTCCCTCCCCCTTATCCTGAGAGGTAACCCAATTACACATACTTTTTACCACAATGCATCCTGGCTTCCTCTCCTCTGCCCAGGAGATAATTGAGAAGTAATTAAATTATCTCCCAGGACAGAGACAAGACTCCATTATGCACATGGTTAGCACAAAGCATTAAAATACTGTACAATACACAAAGTCCCATTTTATACATAAAACACAGACATGTCAGAGACAAGACTCCATTATGCACATGGGGACACAAAACAAGCATTACTGTTAAAATACACCAGGTAAGACACCTTACATTAAAACTATACATTTAACATATCCCCAGATAGCTCAGGTCTGAGCGCACATTATTAAGTGAATGGCGCTCAGACCACACGAATACAGTTTAATCGCCATGGAGCCAAAGTCTTTACAGTCAGTTTCATACGAATGGGCTGCATGGGATTCCTATCTGGGGTATAACACATTCAAACAAATCTACCGAACCCAGGCAGAAAAGCACGAATGAAGCTTTTCTGCAGGTAAAAAAGATGTCTTTTAACAGGGGGCCATAGTCCAAAGGCAGCAGGCGAGCCATCAGGCTTCTCCAATGCAATGTGGCGAGATTGGTCTCGTCACAATCGTATATTAGCTTCATAATGTGACGAATATAGTAATTTTTTTTGAATCCTGTAGGTTGGTCTATCCAGCAGCAATCTCTTTATCTCATGGCAGTTTCTAGTGTTGAGAACTATTATTAAGCCACCTTTACCAACTTGTTTGATATTTAGCTCTCTAAAAAGCCAGTCTCTCATAATAGGTCAAATTAAGTATGACCTGCTTATTATCGCAAGGGAGGATATAAATTTGGCAGCTATCTACATTCATAAAGGTTTGAGCATAATGGTGGTTCACAAAGGGAGGAAACTAGTTCTGTGATCTACGTTTATCAAGATTTACCATAAGGTTTTCCTTGTTGTTAGTATGTACCCTCTGTTCATCACCTGGACTTTGGTTCCCTTTGGTCTGACTAAGAAACATGAGCGTTAAAGTTCAAAACATATTGAAGGCACGGAAGACTTAACCCTAAGTCATTCCTTAATCAACATACCCCCTTACTCTATGTCCCCTAACCTGAAGTCAACCAATTCAAATCTCCAATTCAAAATTGCTTTCCCTACCTCTACCTTTCTATTAACTCTATCCCTAACCCTCTAGTGACTTTTACTGACATTGGCATACACCACTCTAAAGTACTGAGTGCTTTGTGTTGTAAAAATTCAGCATATGATGATACATTTCAATTTAAGCTGTCAAATAATATCATGAAAAAAATGTTCTGTGTAATCCTCATTCCTGGTCACATGAAGTGACAAGTGAAGTACAGCATGCAGAGCCCTACATTGATTACAATCTGTCCTGGGAATTGCCTGAATAGAGTCTTTTTGGACTTTACTAATCTCCTTCACATTGAAAGAATATCCAGTGACATGGGTGATGTCACTAATGTCATTACTGAAAATCACTTTCTTTAAATGATCTGTGTGTGCTTTGAGCATCCTCACAGCACATCTGTCAGCATGTAGTCACTAATTATGGCCAAGTAGCCCCAGATATTAAGAAGTATATGATTATTTCTAGTACCTGCAGGGAAATAACATATGCTGGTGCTAAATGTACATGACAGAATAATGCTGTACTGGATCCTAAAATCCAGGTAGACCGTTAGAGAGTAATCTAATCGTGTGGCAATAAGAGATTAAACCCTTGTCATTTTGGACTATTAAAAATGAATAAATCAATTTTATTTAAATACGTAAGCATAAAAAATATGTTTATAAACATACATTAAAGGTGAGTATTGATCTAACAA